GGAAACATGCCTGTCGGGAAACCTCAAACAAGACCGAAAACTTAATCATGTCATAGCACTTGGCCATAACCAGCAGCACACTGATCCAATGGAGATCCTTAGCCTTACCTACTCCCGCCGACAGGTTCAAATCAAAGGCCGAATCGCTAGAGCTCCGCCCCTTCCCACTCCCCCAGAACTCGTCCGTTCTTTAATCGCGCTCCCAGCGCTCTGATACAGGCCGTCGAAGCCTGCTCCACACATGGATGAACGTGCCCAGCAACGCTATCAAACGGCGCCCACCGTCGGGCTTAGCTAAACGGATTAGCCCACTGACCAAACGACGATCGGGCCAGCGCAGACACGCTTCACACTGATGCTGCAATGCGGCAAAGGCCCCGAGGGCCTCATCGGACAAGTACATAAGCGACCGAGGATGTATTATGTATTGACAGCACCCCACCGCCGTGCGCTCTGGAAACTTCAAGATGGCGGCCCGAAGATCAGAAACTGAAGCCTCAGGTAGGGGATCCCAAAGATGCGCGTCTCCAGGGATCTCTGACTGGGAGCACCCGTGGGTAGCCCAACTATTCCCCCATTCCGACATCACATCATCCGACAGCTCATAGGGTTGGGCCCTTTGGGTGGCTCCGATGACCTCCTGGATCGCGCGGGCCTTCGAGTACCGATGGGCCCCATCGGGCCCCCCCGCAAAACTGTCTCGGAACCACGTTTGCCAAACATTGTTTTTCTCGGCGGGGTGGGCCGCTTCGTGCTCGGCGGCACGATTCAAAATACGCTGCACCAAATCCTGGAAAGCGGGATCGGCCAGGGCCGACAAGCCGGCTTTGAAGAAGCCGCTCGAGAGCGAGTCCAATTGGCAGTGCACCCACTCCAGTTTGGCGATGCGGCCGTAGAAGCGCTTCACGTCCAGCAGCACCTTGACGACCCTGCGCACGCGCCTGTCCTGGTCCCCGTCGTCGAGGTCCAGCTTGGGCACGTAGGTGTGAAGCAGCATGCCAATCTGCCTCAGGTGACGGGCCCACCTGGCTGCCATGCTCGGGACGAACTGCAGTCTCTTTCACGCCACCTCGCGAGGTCCTTCGCGGCACTCGTAGGCGCGGCGCTCAATCCCCATGATGTCGTGCCTGTCCAGCAGCTCGCACTCCACTCCTTTTAAGGAGACGTCCCAATGCTCGCTCAGGTCAGCACCGCACTTGGCCGTCAGAACCTTCTCGTGGAAGTGGTGCCATTGCCGTGGATACCTCGCACAACCTGGCTTCGCTATGGTCGGGATACACCTGGGCTGACGAGCCACTCGGCACCACGGCTTGGTGTCCGCTCCCAGCAAGTCCAACTGCACTGGCGTGTGCGGAGCGGTGCCTACATCATCGAACACAACTGCTGGGCTGGTGCGAATAGCCAGGTTCGCACTGATGACAAAGTAGTCCATGGTCGTGCCTGGGACCGACTGCAGACAGGTGGCCGCTGATGGAGCCGAAATAATTCCGCCAAAAACCTCGGCCCAGTTACCCGAGGTCCCTGGGTCCATCTGAAAATCGCCGCCGACGACCCACTCCCAGCCGAGCTCATTCAACTGGGCGCAGTACTGGTCGACCTCTGCCAATAGCGCCGCGTTGAAGGCGCCCATCTGGTCACTCACGTGCAAGTAGAGCGAAATCGCAATGAAGCCGCCCTTGACCACAGAGTGCACATGCCCTGCCACAGAACGTGCTGGCGCCAACTGCCCTCCTACCACGAGGGCCGGCTCCGTGATCTGAATCCTCTTGGGGCTGAGAATGGCTACCCCTCCCGACGTTTCTCCGGCATCAGTGGCCAGCGCCCTCGACCATATGCCGCGGTAGTTTGCCGCATCTGCACGAACCTGGAAGCCGGGCAATTTCTCATTCAAATGCTGCTCCTGCACAAAGAATCATGGCCTCCTTATCGAGCGGAACCGAAGACTCCTTCGCCTCCAGCAGCTTACCGAGGGGACCGTGACTCGTAGTACTAGCTGTTATAATTCTGACCATGGCCAATAAGTGGCAGAGCATCATCACGATTCTACAAGTCATAAAGGCCGGCCTACGCTGAAGCAAGCCTGGCCTTCTTCGCGAAGCCCTCCAGCAGTTCACCTGCCCGTTTGTCTGCATCTCGGAGTTCTTCGTCTGTGTCTGGCACACCAGCGTTGACGCTGGAGAAACTCTCGTAGAACATCCGGATCAGCACCAGCAGCGTTCTGGAATCCACTCAGACCCAGAGCTAGGGTTGGCGCTGCCACCGCCTCCCTCGGCCGCGGCTCGCTCAGCGGCTGCTGTTGCCTGCTTGGCGTCCTCGGCCTCGCGCTGCTGCTTCTCCCTGCGTGCCTTCTCGGCTTCCCGCACCTCCGCGAGCACATTGTGAAGGTTCTTCGCCATCGACTCAGAAGCGCCAAGCCCCTGCAAGATCGAGCCAAGCTGCTCGACCGACAGCTCGGTGCTGGCCCCGAGCACCTGGCCCAGCGACTGCGGCTTTCCTTTCTGCGCCTGTTGCAGCTGAGGGGCCTCCGCAACGAGCAGGCGCCGCTGCTCCTCCAGCGCCAGCAACTCTGCCTTGGTGCCGCCGAGCGCGGTGAAGGCCTCACATAAAGCCTTATGCGCCTCCTGCACCTTGCCCTCCAGCTCCTGCAACTGCTCCTGCTGCCGTTTAGCTTTGGCCTCCAGCTTCGAGTGCTGGAAGGACATCTCCTTGAGCCGCATGTCGAGCGGCTTCGACTCCGTCCACTGCTGGCGAAGCCTTGCCTGTTTCTCGCGAAGCTGGCGACAGGCTTCCTGCACCTCATCAGGCTTGACATCCTTGATCGCGTCGATGTGTGCCGCAAGCTCAGACAACTGCTGATTGATGTCGCCCGGGGCGTCCACGCCACCTCCGTCGACCTCCATGGCTGACGGCGGCTCAGGCGGGGCCTTGGCGACTTGAGCCCGCAGTTTGACAAACTCCTGCTGACGCTGACGCAACTGCTGCTCCACCTTCGACTGCCCAGGCGCATGCACAACACTCTGCGACGGGGCTGAAGGCTTCCGAACTCCTCCAAAGGCGGTGGACTTGTGCTGGTGACGTTGGCTGCATTCCAACAAATCAGCTCGGTTCCATTACTGCTCCCCTTTATTGTTCCAACGATAGTTGCTCACCCACGGCGAAGCGCACGCCTTCCGAGCTTGTTGGTGCCCCGAGAGCAAGGGCCCTCCAGCTCATCCCTGCGGTGCCACCTGGCGCGGCCTCTCGGCGTCGCCGACGTCGTTTACAGAGCGGCAGTAGATGCGGGCTAACCGCAGTAAGTATCGAAGATGTGGCGCCGCCAGGGGCGACGGAAGCTGTGGGGGCCGTCCTTCCCCCTTGCCAGGCGGCTCCTGCCCTTGAGCGAAACGCTACGGACTTGAGCCAAAATGGCTACGGACGGGGGGAGAGGAGGAGGAGGTGGAGGAGGAGGAGGAGGAGGATGAGGAGCACGCGGAGGAGGCGCGGAGGAGGAGGAGGAGGAGGAGGGGGAGCAGGCGGAGCAGGCGGAGGAGGAGCAGGCGGAGGAGGAGGAGGAGGAGGAGGAGGAAGATGATGATGATGCTGATGATGATGATGATGATGGTGATACTGATGATGATGATGATGATGCTGCTGATGATGATGATGATGATGATGGTGATGGTGATGATGCTGATGAGGATGAGGATGAGGATGAGGATGATGATGATGATGATGCTGATGATGATGACGATGATGGCGATGACGATGACGATGCTGATGATGATGATGATGATGATGATGATGGCGATGACGATGATGATGATGATGATGCTGATGATGATGCTGATGATGATGATGATGATGCTGCTGCTGCTGATGATGATGATGATGATGATGAGGATGATGATGATGATGATGATGATGCGATGATGATGATTGATGATGATGATGCTGATGATGATGCTGAGCTGATGTGGATGAGGCTGATGATGATGATGATGGTGATGGTGATGGTGATGATGATGATGATGCTGATTATGATGATGGTGATGCTGATGATGAGGAGGATGATGATGATTGATGATGGATGATGATGATGTGATATGATGGATGATGATGATGATGATGATGATGATGAGATGATGAGGATGAGGAGGAGGAGGAGGAGGAGGAGGAGGAGGAGGAGGAGGAGCAGGAGAGGAGGAGGAGGAGCAGGAGGAGGAGGAGGAGGAGGAGGAGGCGGAGGAGGCGGAGGAGGACGAGGACGAGGGACGAGACGAGGAGGAGGAGAGGAAGAGGAGGAGGAGGAGGAGGAGGAGGAGGAGGGAGAGGAGGAGGAGAGGAGGAGGAGGAGGAGGAGGAGGAGAAGGAGAAGGAGGGAGGAGGAGGAGGGAGGAGGAGGAGGAGGGGACTCACCTAGGTGGATGGAGATCAGGAGGCGAGGCGAAAAGGGCGGAGGAAGGAGGAGAGGAGGAGGAGGAGGAGGAGGAGAAGGAGAAGGAGGAAGGAGGAAGAGGAGGAGGAGTGAGAAGGAGGAGGAGGAGGAGAGGAGCGAGGAGCGTCGGAGGAGGCGAGGAGGAATTGGTGAGGAGGAGAGCAGCACGGTGGAGGCCGATAGCAAGGGGGAGGGGAGGAGGAGGAGGAGGAGGAGGAGGGAGGAGGAGGAGGAGGAGAGAGAGGAGGAGGAGGAGCAGGTGGAGGAGGAGGAGGAGAAGGAGTGAGGAGGAGGAGGAGGAGGAGGAGGAGGAGGAGGAGGAGGGGAGGAGGAGGAGGAGGAGGAGGAGGAGGAGAGGAGGAGGAGGAGGAGGAGGAGAGGGGAGGAGGAGGAGGAGGAGGAGGAGGCGGAGGAGGAGGATGGGGAGGAGGAGGTAGGAGGTGGAGGCGGAGGAGGAAGAGGAGGAGGAGTAGGAGGTGGAGGAAGAGGAGGAGGAGGAGAAGGAGGAGGAGGAGGAGGACTTGCACAGATCATAGCAACTTGCACAGATCATAACATCGGAGATCCGGGTCCCTCCTTCGCGCAGGCCCAGGCCGCGGAGGCGCTGGCAGCGCAGGTCCGGAGGCTGGAGTCCGAGAAGGCGGAGATTCAACGGCAGGCCAGCGCGCGCATCAGATCTTCCTCCCCAGATCTCCGACGATCTGTTTTAGTTTTTCAATCCGGCTGTTTTTCCTGGATCTCGGCCTCTGGGGGCCCACCACCGGGCCCCTGGACCATCAAAAGTAGATCCGGGACGCAAAACTACCTCCAGAGAAGGGGTGGGGCGCCCTGGGGCCGCGCATCGAAAACAACAGATCGGAGGATGTCTGGGCCCCCGTTTGTTTGTGTCTGCACCTTGAGGGGCGTGTGGAGGTCTTCCGACATCGGCCCCACCATCTTTCCAGACGGGGTGGTCGTGTTCATCATGGTGGCATTGGCTTCCGCCAGAGCCTTTGCCATCTCGCTGTCGCCTCCGACGCGTACCGCATGAGAAAGCTACGCTGCCGCATCTCCGACCACTCGACAGATGCACAGTTCCAGGCGGTCATTGTTTCTTGCTTCCGTAAAGCTGCCCGCGGCTACCCCGGAGTGTAGGTACTGACGCCCCAGCGATCTCAGGGCCAGTCGTGGAAGCGGTGCTCACGGCGACCAGCTGAAGGTGCAATGCATGGCAGGAGAAGCCGTAGTTGTCTTCATCTCTTCGTCTCCTGTTTCTTTGCTCTGCTCCGCCTTCTTCCTCCACTTCATCCTTACATACTCGTATATCTCGTCCTCGATCCTTCTCATTATCCGCCCCTTCATCCTCATCTCACCTCCTCCTTCCTCCTCCGCGTCCTCCTCCTCCATCGTTCGCGTCGTCGCTCATGGCCGTCGTTGTGACGTGCCGCGTTCCGGACCAATGACAGAGACCCTTTCGGGCGGGCTAGGCCAACACCGATGTTATGATTTTCTTCCTTCCTCCTTCTCCTCTTTCGAGCAGTGTTCCTGCCAGCGCGGTAGGATTGCAAAGCTCCTTGGTCGGTGCTCGGGGCGTCGTAGCTAGAAGATTGTTACTCTAAGTTGATACGAAGTTATCAGGAGTGGTCCAGGCTTCCCACGAGCTGACGATTTGCCTGAATGACCCCAGAGCTCGATTCGATTCGATTATCCTCCTGCTACCTCCGCTCAGGCAAGGGCCGCGGAGGAGGCGCTGGCAGCGACGGTCAGGCTGTTGGAGTCTCAGAAGGCCGAGCTCGAACAGCAGGCCCCCACGATGCTCCGCGCCGCCTGCACTGCGCAGCGACTGAGGTGCGAAGGTCTTCTGCCGCCAGATAATGGGGCAATGACAACGAGGAGGAGGAGGAGGAGGAGGAGGAGGAGGAGGAGGAGGAGGAGCAGGAGGAGGAGGAGGAGGAGGAGGAGGATGTGGAGGAGAAGTAAGGAGGAGGAGGAGGAGGAGGAGGAGGAGAGAGAGGAGGAGGAGGAGGAGGAGGAGGAGGAGGAGCACGACGACGACAAGGCGCAGCAGCAGGAGCAGCAGCAGTAGCAGTGGAGGTGAGTGATGAGTTGCGGACGACCCTGGGTCAGAAGAGGCCATCGTTTGGTGTTTTGGGGCGCTACTCCCGCAACCCTTTCGGTATTCAAGAAAACGTTGGGGGCAAGTTGATGTGGGCCCTACACCGATCATATCAAAGTTGCTTTGCTGCCGACCGCGTATCATCCTGCAGGGAGCACTTGGGCGCACCTGAATAGCGCAAATTCTCGGATGGACTCTGATCTGCTTGTCGTCGCTCTTCTGCTTTACTATACATTGCTCTGATCACGCTTCCACTTCCACCTATTCTACCCAACGTACGCCTACTCTGATTGCAGTATCATCTGCTTTGTTGCGCCCAGTCATTACATCATCCACGTATGTTCGGTTCTGCTCCTGCTGCACCGCTCGGCGCTGGCTGCTGCCGCTGCTTGCCGCAATGCCTTGGGAAATCAGTCGCGCTGCTATCTTTCATATGATACCATGTACGCTACCCGTTCCGTTCCCGTAGGGCGTTGGCCACTGAAGGGGGGTGAAAGAGTTTCGCAGTGAGAGGGGCGGGGCTCGCCTCATGAGGGGGCTCGCCTCATGAGGGGGCTCTTTCATGCGGCAGGTAACCCAATCACAATACCTGGAACAGAGACGATGGCAAGACGCACAGAGGGAGAGAAGGCGCCGCGCGTCGCCTCCGCCTGAAGGGCCCCCCGCTGTCACCCGCGCCCCGGTGAGCACAGGATTGGCCACATGCTTTCCACTGGTCTTGACGCCTCTCTCGGGGGTGGACAGAACCCCCAACAGTGACACGTCGATTAGTGAATTGTCCGTTTTCGGTTCTCGAGATGGCGCCGTGGCCGTTATTTTCGAGGCTTGCGCCCGCCAGGTTTGGGCCTCAGGTCGTTTTCACTAAACCACGTTTTACTAAAGGGGGGTCTGTCCATCCCCGATTCTCGCGTCCCCAGGGGAGATCATCCAGAAAGTTGCCCATGTGAGCTGTCGGGGGTCGGGACGTATGCCAGCATATGGTGAATCGTAGTGACCAACAACAGCGAGCTGAGGTACATCTTGGAATCTGGGGCGCTTTGGAGCCATCTTGGAGCTCCCTTGGGGCTCTTTCGGGGGCTGTTGTGGCCCTCTTCTGGCTTTGCTCGGGCCCTCTCGGGAGCCGACCGCGCCATATTGGGGCCATACGGGAGGCCGTCGAAAGAACAACGAGCGGGTGCCAATTAGCACTGCCCGCCTGAAGCCCTAGATCTGTTTTTTTATGCTTCTTGGGGCGTTGTCGGGGCGATTCTTGGTGCTCCTGAGGTCATATTAAACCCCTTTGGGCACTGTCGGCGTTCTTTTGTGCAGTAGTGGCGTGTTCTGGGGCAAAACCAAGTCATGCCGAATGGTCTATGTAGGTGCCCAGGGAGTCAGCATATCAACGCAAATTCGTTGAAGCGTGGCCCATCTATGGATCTTCTCCCGCCGCCACCGGCATGGAAGGTTGGCTGGTGAGGTCCCCGCTTCGGGGTGGGATTGCTCGGAGCCCCGGTGCGGGGCGCGGTGGCGGTGACATGTGAGGCCCCCGCCGCGAGCGGTGGTGGCCTAGGCCCCAACCGCCGAGAGTGGTTTGCCGCGTCTCCGCTAATCATGGCGCCGGTGATTTCGAGTTGCTCTCGCATGCTGAACTACACTCGGGCGCATTGAGCTGGAACGCCCTCTATCGCCGCCAGCGCGCGCCAACTCGGGCGTTCAAGACGCGCGTCCTCCCCTCTGGTCGCCGTTCTTCCTTATCCCTCGTGGACGAGGGGCCCACCCGCCGCGCGAGGCGCTGGGGGATCCGCTCGCGGCCGCCCTGGCGAACCTGGCCGAGGCCGAGCAGGCCCTCCCAGAGGAGAAGAGGAGGCAGGGAGGGGGAGAGAGGAAGGGATGACGTGGAGGAGAAAGAGGAGGGACGTGGAGGAGGAAGGGAGGAGGAGGAGGAGGAGGAGGAGGAGGAGGAGGAGGAGGAGGAGGAAGAGGGGCCGTGCTGCTGGGGTGCACGCCCCCTTTGCCGCGGCTTCGCCGAAGCTCACGGGGTAGCCTGGCGCGTCTCGTCAAGCAGCGCTTCAGCCGCCCTGGCGGGGAAGAGGACGAGGAGGAGGAGGAGAAGGACCTGTGTGAACCCAAGAGTCATCAACGATGTTGGAGTAAACTCTCTCCGAGCTCCCTCCTCATAGGCCCCTACCACGGTTCATTTCCATTGATGGAACTGCCTCGTTAGAGGACACCCTTTTGAAGACCCAGAAGCATGCCAAAACGTTGTTCTCGGGATTCCAATGCCACGGGTCAACCTGACTGATGCGTCTTGACGATCCTGAATCGTGCCAGAAAGCCATTCGTAGGACTTCAACACAGTGAACCGACGTAACTGTTGCACCCGCATAGTCTTGAATCTTTTCAAAACATCATTCTGGTACGTTGATGATGAGACTATGTGAAACTCCTGTAAGTTATTACAACGAATGTGTGCGGCGTTAAGACGAGAGCCACATTTTGAAAACCACCCGCCCTCAATCCGTAAAGCTCTTGCATATTGTTTAAACGAATGTGGGCGGCGCTGAGGCGGGAGCCACATTTTGAAAACCACCCGCCCTCAATCCGTGAAGCTATTGCAAATGTTTAGAACGAATGTGCGTCGCGCGCTAAGGCGAGAGCCACATTTTGAAAACCACCCGCCCTCAACCCGTGAACTTTCTACAATTGGTTAAGACGAATGTGCGCCGCGCTAAGGCGAGAGCCACATTTTGAAAACGATCCGCCCTCATCACGCGAAACTCGTGCAATTTTTGTCAGCGAATGAGCGCCGCACTAAGGCGAGAGCCACATGTTGAAAACCACCCGCCCCCCATCTGTGAAACTGTTTTCATATTTTGAGCTTCAGAAGCGTAAGTGGTGAGGAAGTCTCATCGAAACGCCCGGCCCTAAAAACTGGCCTCGGGGTGCGACAGGGACAAATTATTCAGAAGGAGAAGGAATGGAGGAGAAACAGCAGGAGCAGGAGGGGGAGGAGGAGGAGGAGGAGGAGGAGGATGAGGAGGGGGGGAGGAGGGGAAGGAGGAGGGGAGAGGAGGAGGGGAGGAGGAGGAGGAGGAGGAGGGAGAGGAGAAGGAGGAGGAGGAGGAGGAGAAGAAGAAGAAGGAGGAGGGAGAGAAGGAGGAGGAGGAGGAGGAGGAGGAGGAGGAAGAGGAGGAGGAGAAGGAGGATCCGCGTGTTGAGGGGAGCCCCTGGTGACCCCGGTGCCGATGGGGCTCCACAGCGACGAGGGAGTCGAGCGTTGCGCAATTGGGGGGCGACAAATGGGGGGGACGAATAAAGGTGTACCTTCTGTGCCCTAGAGGGGCTCTTCGAGGGCCCCTTGGGGCCCAAAAGAGCATGAAAGGTGCACGACTCCCCCCCCTCATCAATCCCCCCCCCCACACCCACACCTTTTGTGCCCTAGGAGGCTGAAACTAGCGAAAATCCTTCCGTCGCGATCTTGTCCTGACTCGAGGAGGTCTGGGAACAGCGCAGGCGCTGGCCCACGCGGGCCGCAGGCGCGGCGCAGGCCCGCCGAGGCAGCAGGCCCTCGGCGCGCGGGCTGCGGGTCCCTCGGCCGCGTGGGTGGGCCGCCAGCTGCCTCGGCTCCCGCCGCTGCCTGGGCGCGGAGGGGCCCTGGCCCGCGCCGTGGCCGTGGGCGTGGCCGATGAGGAGCATAGCAAAACGAGGAGGAGGAGGAGGAGGAGGAGGAGGAGGAGGAGGAGGAAGAGGTGGAGGAGCTCTGCCTCTGCCGACGCCCGGAGGCCTGGGCTCCGCAGCGCCCCTCGCCCTCCGACCTGGGCGCGGGGCGCGAGCCCTGGCTCGCCCGGCGGGCGCGGGCCGCCAAAGTTCGAGCGGAGGGCCTCGGAGGCCCCCCCCCCCCCCCCCCCCGGGGCCCCGCCCTGGCGGCCTCGGCAGAGACCAGCGCGGCCGAGGCGGCAGGACGGGCTGCCCCCGGGGCCGACCCGGAGGTCCTGCGCGGGCCCGACGGAGAGTGCCGGGGGGGGGCGCTAGACCCTCAGTGCGGGGCGTTGCAGCTTTGTCACACCGGGCGTTTTCCCCCGGCTTCGGGCCCCAGGGCCCTCACAGATCGACCAGGCTCGAAAATTGGCGCGGACAGACGGAGTCTCGGGTACCAGGGGTGTTTTGTTCGCCATGTTGCGATATTCTCGCAGCGTCGGGCCCAGGGCTGAAGGCGGCAGGTTGGCCTCGGCCACGCCGTGGGCTCGGCGCGGTGATGGCTGCCCAGACGCCGCACACGTCTTCCCCGCCGTCGGCTGCCCGACACGCGCCAGATGTGGGCCTGATCGCCATTACCACCACCATGAGCAATAGCAACAACATAATCGTCATCACCACCATCTGTCATCATTATCATCGTAGTGATCAGCATCATCATCATCAGCATCAGCATCATCATCATCATCATCATCATCATCATCATCATCATCCTCATCCTCATCCTCATCATCATCATCATCATCAGCATCAGCATCAGCATCAGCATCAGCATCATCATCAGCAGCATCATCACCATCATCATCAGCATCATCAGCATCATCATTGTCATCATTGTCATCAGCATCAGCATCAGCATCATCGTCGTAATGAGCAGCATCACCACCATCAACATCACAATCGTTACCAACACCATTATCATCATCACAATCATATACACCAGCATCAGCATCATCTGCAGCATCCTCATCACCACCACCATCACCACCACCATCACCACCACCCTCCTCATCATCATCAGCAGCAGCATCATCATCACCATCATCGTCGTCGCTGTTACCGCCATCAACATCATCGCCACCATCACCTGCATCATCGCCACCATCCTCCCTCACCATCATCACCTGCATCATCACCATCATCATCATCACCAGCAGTTCATCATCATCCACATCAGCATTGTCATCAGCATCATAAGCATCCTCCTCCTGTTCCTCCTCCTTATCGTCCTCCTCCTCATCATCATCACCATCATCACCAGCATCAGCACCTTTACCATCACCATTATATCATCATCATCAGCATCACCAGCATCATTCTCATCAGCAGCATCATCATCAGGATGTTCATCATCCTTCTTGTCGTCATCGTCGTCTTCATCGTCGTCGCCGTCGTCATCATCGTTATTGCCCTCTCCGCCCTTCCTCTTCCGGAGGCCCCAAAAAACGGAAGGCGCCCACAAACGTAGATCCTCGATCATCGTCCTCCCTTTCTCCTCCTCCTGCTCCTCCTCCTCCTCCTCTTCCTCCTCCTCCTCCTCTCCCTCCTCCTCCTCATCCTCCTCCCCCTCCTCCTCCCCCTCCTCCTCCTCCTCCTCCTCCTCCTCCTCCTCCTCCTCCTCCTCCTCCTCCTCCTTCTCTTCCTCCTCCTCCTTTTCCTCCTCCGTTTCCCCTTCCTCCTCCCCCGAGGCCGTGCAGAGCGCGATGTTGGAGCAGGGCCGCACGGTCGTGGACAAGGCCATCGTCACGACAGCAGCCAGCACCGACTCGATGAACGACTACGAGGCCTGCCCACCAGCGCGCGGGAGGAGGATCCAGGAGGAGGAGGAGGAGGAGGAGGAGGAGGAGGAGAAGGGGGAGGAGGAGGGGGAGGAGAAGGATGAGGAAGAGGGGGAGAAGGAGGAGGATGAGGAGGAGGAGGGAGAGGAGGAGGAGGAGTAAGAGGAGGAGGAGGAGGAGGAGAAGGAGGAGATGGAGTCCAGGACGACGAGCAGGAGGAGGAGGAGGAAGCCTTTGAAGGCAACCCTAAGGCCAGTTTGACCCATCTTCAGGGGCTGCGGTCGGGAACTTGTGGTTTGCGCGTTGCGCCGCCAGTCCTGGCCCACCACGCTTCGGCGCGACACGCTAACCATCTCGCAGTCCCCGAGCGTCAATGTCCCGGGCCTTTCCCAGCCTCCCTCCCCGCGAAGCGGAGCGACAGTAGCGCTCGCAGGGCATGGCGTGTCGCTGGGGCCGCCGCTGCGACACGTGAATCAAACGTTCCTGACCGTATGGGGGCCGTTGGAAAGCCATTCTGGAAGCAAGACAGACGACAATGAGAAATAACGGAAAGCAGTCGGTTGCTCAAAGTGCTTGTTTCTTGGAGGCGTTTTGGCGTCGTATTGCGCCGTCTTGGAAACACATGCGGCCATCCTGGGTTGTCTTGAGCTCTCGGGGCCTGCTTTAAAGGCTCCTCGGGGCGCTCCTGGAGGCCTCTTGGTCCCTCTTAGCTGCCTGGCAGCGTCCCTGTTGGGAATATTGGAACGACGTGGCGCGGAGAGGGGGCAGACATCCCCACCCCCAGATGGTGTTTTCCTACGCCGCGGGCCCCACATCAGACAGCATCATGGACGACAAGAAACAGGACAGAAGAGACAGGAGGCAAGGCAAGATCGACAAACAGGGAGGGAGGGAGAAGACAAACGACACTAGGAAAACAGATTTCCAACAAGGCAGTTCACTACCTTGTGCCCCAAATTCCCACAAGGGGGCTGGCGGATTCGGGACTGGAGAATGTCATTGGAATTATGTTTGAATGCCACCCGTTGTGGTGGATCGCTCGTGTTGCGCATGTTGCGTTGTACCTTGATGATTTGGTCGTCCGTCCGAACGTGTATCTGAGTTGCCTGCGGCAAGCTCATACAGCGCATCTGTGCCAGCGAGTCGTCCACATGCAGGTGCCCATCATGCTTCTGACGCGCTCTATGCATGTGCCCATCATGGTTCTGACGCGCTCTTCCGATCAGTCTCGGCAGAACCGTATTGGAGCCGCCTCGGAAGCATTGCTACGATGCTGCAGCGTAGCTTGGCCACTGCACGATGGTTGGGTCGACTCTGGGGGCTCATATTGGAAGCCGTTTGGAAATTGCTGTTTGGGGCCCCTCGGGGCCCTCTCGAGGGGCCTCCGTGGTGTCCTGCTGGGGGGCCCTGGGGCATTCTTGGGCGCGCTGGTCCTGCCGCGCTCTCCTGCACAGATGGGCAAGCCCGTTCGGGTCTCGGGGCCGCCTCGGGGCCACCTCGGGGCCGTCCTGGGCCGCCGTGGGGGGGGCCATCCGAGGCCACGCTGGGGCCCGAGCTGGATCACGCCGGGCTGCACAACGGGGGGGGGCTTCCCGAGGCGGCCTTCGGGGCTCCGTGCCCGTCTCCGGGGTCGCACTGCGCAGAGACGCTCGGGAGGCAGAGGCGCGCAGAGCTCTCCTCCTCTCCACTGCCCCCCGGGCTTCCCAAGGGCCCCTCCGGGGGCATCCCGTGGGGCTTCCGCCGGCCGGCCAGCCCCTGTGCGGGGGACACTTCGAGGCCTCCTCGGCGTCTCTGGGCCAGCTTCTGCTTCCAGGAACCGCATGCTTGGATTGCGGCGTGTGGATGAGAGCGACGGGTCCCGTTTCTGTAGACAATCGGTTCGCCGCGTCGCTGGATCGGGGGGCATTGACCTCACGTGTTTGGGGTTACCTTCTCCGAGCCGTGGATATGGCGCCCACGCGCCACATCCACGGATGCCTACAGTGGAAACTCATGCCAAGGAACACCCTGCGTGCCTCCAGGGTGCCCTGGGTTTCTTGGGTTTCGATGGTTTCGCTAGGGGAAGCGTGACGTTCCCACTTCAAAAGTCAATGGACGCCCTAGGGCCTTGGGTCTCAGGGTTGGGCTTCTTGTGGAAGGTTTCTTGTGGTTGAGCTCCTACTGTAATCCATGTTAGATTGGCATTGGAGCATGTTGCAGCGGCCCTGGGGCGGTCTCCAGCAGTCTTGGGCTGCGCAGAGCGCCGGAGAGCAGAACGCAGGGGGGGAAACTCGAGGGGGATTCGATGAGGGGTCCGCCCAGAGGACGGACACCCAGAAGGCATCCTGACACGCCCTCGACAGGGTGACGAATGATGTCACTTGGTGCAGTATCCCTGCTGCAGTCAACGCGCATAGTAAGGACAAACGACTTTTTCAAGGGTACCTTTGGGTCCTTGCCTACCTCAGCCTCTGCGGCCCGTCCCCAACCATTTTCGCAGGGCAGAATACTTCAACTTCGGCCTCCAAGGGTCTTGCGTCCTTACCACGCGTCCTTACTAGACGTTTCCATTGTACGTCAGCGACGGAAGAAAAAACGGGGTCGAATACCCGGACGTTCGCGCGTAAGTTGTCCGCGCGCGGTCGCTCGTAGGCGGCTGTTTGCTGCCAATACAGCGAGCCACGCGCGCGGTCCGCCGAAGCCTCGGCGTAAGGTCGCGATGTCTTCTCGCGCAAGACTGTAGGGAAAAAGCACAGTGGGGAAAAACACACACGCACACTGTGTGTGTGTTGTTTCCCCACAGTGTGCTTTTTCCCCACACATTGTGTGTTTTTCCCCTACAGACTGTGTTTGTGTGTGTGTGTGTTCCCCACGTTGTGTGTGTGTGTTTCCCCCCAAAGACGGTGTGTTTTTCCCCACAGACCTGTTTGTGTTCGTCGCTCACGCGACATTGTTTAGTGCAGCGTAGCGTATAATCGTGACGCGCAGTTTCTTGTGCAGCGTTCCTCTGGCTTGAAACGCAACAGCTTTATGTGAGACGATGCTCGTGTAGTGGAGTGTCCCTGGGAGGCTCCAGGAGGGCCCCAAGAGGCTTCAAATAGGCGCTCAGAGACCCCCAAGGGGCTTCCAGAGGGCCCCAAAAGGACTCCAAGAAAGACCCCAGAGGGCCCCGACAGGCAGACCCAAGGGGGCTCTGACTTCGAGAGGGCCCAAGAAGAGACCCGACGGCCCCGAAAGGCCCCCCCGGATGTCTCCGAGAGGGGTTCCCCAAGCCAGGCTGCTTGTGGCAGCATGGGGGAGGAGGAGGAGGAGGAGGAGGAGGAGGAGGAGGAGGAGGAGGAGGAGGAGGAGGAGGAGGAGGACGAGGACGAGGACGAGGAGGACGAGGACGAGGACGAGGAGGACGAGAAGGAGGAGGAGGAGGAGGAGGAGGAGGAGGAGGAGAAGGAGGAGGAGGAGGAGGAGGGGGAGGAGGATCAGAGGCAGGAGCGTGAGCAGAAGCAGAAAGGAGGGGAGGCATGGCCCTGCTGGGCAGGACGAGGAGGACATGCAGACCGCAAACCTCCAGATGGAGTTGGACGCGGGACCCAGCATGGAGACGCTCACGCTGCCCATGGATTCGGAGGGAGGGACCATGGTTTCTTCTGGCTTCGACCAGGTCCGTCTCTTCAAAGCAAAAAGGAAGGGCAATTTCCAGGGATGTGCCCAACCCTTTCAAAAGCGCGTGGGGACAATCTTTAGGACCGTTCAGCACCCAAGAACACATTTGAAAACATGCGGCACTCTTGCATACCTTGCCAAACAGTATCGGACCACGTCAAGTCGCCACGAAAGTTGCGACAGGTGCGCGGTTGGCAGTCCCCCAGGGAGCCGCGAGGTCTCGTCTGGGTATGCGTACACCCCACTTCGCCGGACCTCCCAGGAGCACACCAAAGTGGCGAAAGTTGCGCACTTGGCAGCCCCCCAGGGAGCCGCGATGTCTCGACTGGGCCTGCTTACGCGCCCACTCTGCTGGGCCTGCCAGCAGGAGCACACGAAAGTGGCGACGGTTGCGCTCAGCTGGCAGCCACCCAAGGAGTCGTGTGTCTCGTCTGAGCCTGCGTATACCCTCATACCGCCGGGCCTCCCGGTAGCACGCGAAAGTGGCGACAGCTGCGCAGTTGACAGCTTCTTCTCGGGGGAACCGCGAGGTCTCGTTTGGGTCTGCGTACACCCCCACTCTGCTGAGCCTCCCAGGAGCCCACGGAAGTGCCGACTTGTTGAGCAGGTGGCAGCTCCCCACGTCGCCGTGAGGTCTCGACTGGGCCTGCGTACACCCCAAGTCCGCGCGGCCTCGCAGGAGCCCTGGAAGAGTGCCCCCCCGCGGTGGAAGCCGCGAGGTCTCGAGTGGGTGCCCGTGCCTCCCCGCCGCTCCCATGGGCCTCCCAGCGCGTAAGATGTCACCCCGCCGAGTCTCCCAGGAGCCCGGGAAGAGTGTCGACAGTTGTTGCGCAGTTCGCAGCCCCGTTTGGATACGCGTACGACGTCACTCCGCTGAGCCTCCCAGGAGCTCAGAAAGAGTGTCGACTTGTTGCGCAGGTGGCAGCCCCTCGGGGAAGACGAGGCGTCTTTTGGAAATTGGTCAGACGTCACTCCGCCGAGCCTCCCAGGAGCCCACGAAAGTGCCCACTTGTTGCGCAGTTGGCAGCCCTACGGGGAAGACAAGATGTCGTTTGGATAAGCGTCAAACGTCACTCCGCTTACCCTCCCAGGAGCCCGAGAAGAGTGTCGACAGTAGTCGCGCAGTTCGTAGCCTCGCGGGAAAGGCGAGGCTTCGTTTGGATACGCATACGACGTCACTCCGCCGAGCCTCCCAGGAGGCCGGGAAGAGTGTCGACAGTTGTTGCCCAGTTCGCGGCCCCGCGGGGACGGCGAGGCCTCGTTTGGGTACGCGTACGACGTCACTCCGCTGAGCCTCCCAGGAGCTCAAAATGTGTGGCGACATTTGCGCAATTCGCAGCTCCGCGGAAACAAAAGGAGGTGTCGTTTGGATGCGCGTGAGGCGTCACTTCGCTGAGCCTTCCAGGAGCCCAGGAAGAGTGGCGACATTTGCGCAACTTGTAGCCCCGCGGAAAAGACGAGATGTCGCTGGGATGGCATGAGACGCAATTCTGATAAGCTTCCCAGGAGCCAAGGAAGAGTGGCGACAGCTGCGCAGTTCGCAGCCCCGCGGGGAAGACGAGGTGTTGTTTGGATGCGTGTAAGACGTCACTCCGCTGAGCCTCCCATGAGCCCAGGAGAGTGGCGACAGTTGCGAGGTTCGCAGCCCCGCGGGGAAGGCGAGGCCTCCTTTGGATGCGCGTGAGACGTCGCCCCGCTGAGCCTCACAGTAACTAGTAGCCCAGGAGAGTGCCGACAGGTGCGCAGTGCCCGGTGAGGAAGACGCGGTTTCGTCCGAATGCGCTTGAGCCGTCACTCCGCTGAGCCTCCAAGGAGCCCAGGAAGTGTGGCGAGAGTAGCGCAGTTCGCAGCCCCGCGGGAAAGGCGAGAGTGGGCTGGAGGATGTTGCGCGAGCAGGGCTCAATTGAGAACGAGAACCCAACCAGAGAAGGGTTGGGACTAAAACGAACCAGCACAGGGAGGAGGAGGTGGGGGAGGAGACCAGCAGCAATTCATTCAAAACAAGAATCCAACACGGGAGGGTTGCGAAGAAATCGACCTCGGCCAGGTCCATCTGCCCGACCCGACCACCCACCTGGACCGGGGCAGCCAGACCATGGTGTCAGAGGGCGGCGTGGAGGACGGGAATCATGATCGTGTTGTTCGTGCCTGGTTCGATGAAGTTTGGAACGTGGGATCGCTCGATGCAGGTTCAGTTCGTTGACACAGGCCGGCTACGTTGGAGCGTTCGGCGGCCCTCAAAGCGCTTCTGAACACGTCCTGGGGGACTTCGGTGGACCAACGCATGTCAGCGCTTGCACGCGCGTCATGGCCAGATCGTCGACTGGCGCTGGGCCCACTTCTTTCAGGAGGGAAAAAGGGACAGATATAGACAAGCATCGATGTCTTCTTTGAACGTGTTGGAAAATACGGGCAACGGAGGGAAACTGTAAAATCCAGGCAGCAACTCAACTGTGCGGAATCCTGGATTGGAGGCCCGTGGACCGCCTGTGAAACTATTGGAATGTGCGCCTGTCTCTGCGGGTCTCCCTGGGCCCTTCTCTTCCTGGCCCACGCGAGGCCTCCACCGCTTCCGCGGGGCTCACCGGAGGAGGAGCTCCTCGGGGCGAGCCGTGCTGCGAGGGCAGGGGCGTGGCCTCGGGGGCAGCGCCCGCCGAGGCGGTACCACGGGGGCGAGAAGCCCTGGCGGGAACTCGCGCCCTCCCCCGACTCCCTCCGCCCACCATGGGGAAACAAACACATGACATGAACATAAGAGCGCGGAGGTCCGCGAGGACTTCTCGCATCGGCGCTGGACCCCCCTGGCGGCGCCTCCGGCGCCGATCCAAGAAGTCCGCGCAGACCTCTGAGTTTTTATGTTTGATTCTTCGTTCCCCTACACCATTTTCCCTTCTGCTTCCCCCCCTCCCCAGAGATCCGATGTCGTGATTTGTTCTATAGGGGATCCCCGGAAGCCTCGACCCGTTCCCCCGAAGCGGTGTTTCATTCCGAGGCGTTTCTTGACGGTCCTGGGGCCCAGCGAGGGCCCCTGGAAGCCGAAAACTGAGAAAAACGTCCGCCTTGATTTTTGCCCATGCGTTGGATCTGGGTCCCTCCAGCCCCCTGCCCCACCGCCTCTCCCCCTGGTCTGTCCCCCCCCCCCTTTCCGTCTCCGCAGCGGCTTGGAGCGTGCCCGTCTGCGGAGGATCGTGCCCCCCCCGCCCCGCCCTCGCCCCTCGCTCCTCGCGCCTGCCTCCCGGCTTGGCACCGCTCGGGCGGCGTGCGCATTTGTGCTCGGCAGCGGCCCTCGAGGAGCACTCTTTCGGGGGCGGATAGACCTCCTACCCTGACACGTCGATTAGCGAATTGGCCGTTCTCGGTTCGCGAGAGGGCGTCGCGGCCGTCACCTTTGCGGGTCCAGGTCCGTCGGTTTCGGTCCCAGGTCGTTTTCAAGAAGGGGAGGTTTTCTAAAGGGAGGTCTGTCCACCGCCGATTCTTATGCACCTTGCCAAAACATGAACGCACGAGACCCAAACATGCACACGGAATGGACGTCCGAGCGACAGCGACGGTTGGTGCCTCGCTTGCAGTCAGCAGCACTCCTCGCGCCGTGTACTCCTGGTGCCTCACTCCGCGGCTGCCCCTCACTGCCTCCACTGGCGCCAGCATGTGCTTCTTCGTCCCCGTACTCGCTCCACGCGCCTCGCGCCTCCTCGAAGGCTCTCAAGGGCAAAGAGACGGCATGAGCATGAGCTTTCGGAGCTTCGCGCGGATTTCTTGGATCGGCGCTGTGGCCACCCTGGTGGCGCCTCCAGCGCCGCCTCCGGCGTGCTCCGCGCGCCAAGGGGGAGGAGGGGGCAGCGCCGATCCAAGGAATCCGCGCGGAGCTCAGTTTCTATGTCTTGTTTATGTTGTTTGTTGTTCCGTTATTCCGTCTTGCCATCATTGTCCTCCTCATCGTTCTTTCTCCTCCCCACCCTTCTCCTCGTCTCTGCTTGGCCCAGTCGATGTCAGCAGAGGGTGGGAGAGGAAAGGCGCACGCACATGTTTGCAAGACTCCTTCCTTCGATCAAACTGCAATCCGGCGCTTGCATAGTTCTTTAGTGTGTTCCTTGCACGCCCGCCGCGAACACCTGGCTCGCACGTGTGATGCACTGTGATCCTCGAGGAACTCGAGCAGCAGAGGCAGCGCATCCAGACGCAAGTCGAGCAGCTTGACAAGGAGGTTCTCAGAGTCGTGCCGAGTCCGTCGGAGGCGCTCGGCTCTGTCTTTCCTCCTGCTGCTGCATGTGGGAAGTACGTCTGAGAGATTTGTTATGGAGTCTGTGCTCGGCTGGGGCACCGAGTCAATTGATGGATGTTGGCACCCAGCTTCGTTGACACAGCGGAGTTGTAAAGAAAATCACAGGTAGCTGGTCAGTGCCGTCGAGGCGTTGAAATGAGGACTGCTCTGGTGTCACATTTTGGTACGGAACAGGGGCTTTGTTCTTTGTGGAGTTACAGGACCGTATGACTTTGCATCTAGGCATGGTACAGCTGATCCAGGCAGGGGTGGCTGAAGGTTGCCCCCTTCTGGTGACCGTTTGGGTGCAGAGGCGAAGTCCATGCATGGGATGACTGTTCCCCCTTAGCGGAAGCTGGCGGAGGTGAAACGGGGGCGGTACTACTTGCGGAGGCGTGGCGGTAGTTGCGGGGGCCCCAGTCGCAGGGGCTCTTCTTGTTGGACTGTTTGCGTGGCCTCTGCTGTTTGTTCTCGGGTGGATTCCATCTTCTCCTCCTCATCTCCCTCTCGCCTTCTCCTCCTCTCCATCCTCTTCTCAGCCCTGCCTCACCCGCAGTCCGATATCGTTCCTCCTCCTCCTTCTCATCATTTCTCCCACCTGTCCCTCCCTCCCTTCTCATCCTCATCCCCATCCTCCTGCTTTAACCTTCCACCTCATCTTCTTCCGCCATACCATCAGTCCTCATCGTCCTCCTCCCCCCGTGCCCTTCCTTCTCCTCCTGTCCTTCTCCGCTTGCCTCCTGCTTCTGCGATTCCTTATCGAGCCTCCGCTTGCCCCGTCGCCTCTCTTCCGTCCGTTCCTTTGCGTGTTCCTGCTCCGGCTATGCCTGCGGTTCCCTTTTCCCTTTCCACCTCATGCGTCCTCTTGTTGCCGTTCTTGCTCCTGCTCCCCCCATCCTTGATCCCTCCTCCTCGTCACCGACCTCCCCCCAAATGTTCCCTCGCTTCTCCCTCGCCGACCTCCCCCCAAATGGTCAGCATCACCATCATCATTAGCAGCATCAGCACCACCATCACCGTCATCACCCTCCACCGTCCAATGGGTAGTGGATGGTGGTGATGATGATGATGATGATGATGATGATGATGATGATGATGATGGGTGGTGGGTGGCGTTCATCACCCAACAACGTTACCACCATCAGCACCATCACGATCATCCTACTCATCATCACCACCCGCATCATGATCATCATCGTCATTAGCAGCAGCAGCATCGTCTTCATCATCATCATCACCACCACCATCTTCATCAGCATCATCATCGCCATCATCAACGACAACAGCATCACCAGCATCAGCATCAGCATAATCATCACCAGTATCAGCATCATCAGCATCAGCATCAACATCAGCATCATCACCTTCGATCTTATTCTTCCTCATCCACCTCCTCCTCCTCATCCGCATCTTCCCCGAGGGTCTCCCAAGGTACGCAGTGTTCGCCGTAGGCCTTCAGTGGCCGCCCGAGGCTTCCAGGGGCCTCAGGAGGTGCAGGGAAGGCCAGAAGCGCTCCAAAGCACCTCGACGCTCGAGCCTCGATCGTCCTCCTGGCCGCGCCTTACTACCTCGAGGGGATGTACCAGGCGCGCCGCCGCGCCGAGTCCACGTGCTCCTCCGAGATGGTCTGCCGCTACGGCTGCCTCTCCAGCTGAGACGTAGCTGCGCCCCTGGCCCGCCTGCCCGCCCGTCCTCACGCTCGGGACGTGGCGCCAGGAGGTTTCGCTCGGTCGCTGTCCCTCTGCCGTGCGTCTTCTGTGACCCTCGCCCCGTTCGTCTTTCCCTAGCCAACGTGCAGGAGAAACGGCGCGGCGCCAGGAGGCACGGCAGGTATAGCCTCCTCGTTGACTTCTGTGGTCATGTGACTGCCCTTCCATGTCGTACATGGCGCGTTCCCCTGGCCGCGCCGAGCACGCCCTGCACCGGCGCCCTCGGCCGTGGAGGAACAACGCGGCGGCTGCCGCGTGGCGCGACGTGGACGCCGCGCCAGTCCGCGATTGGCCCAAGGCGCTGCGCGGTTCTCGAGGTCGCGGGGTCGTGCTCGGCTTCGGGCTCCGGCTCGGGCTTGAGCCCCGAATCGTGCTCGGCCTCGGGCCTTGGCTCGGCCTCGGCCTCGGGCCCAGTCTCACATCCAGCCGCGCGAAGAGCACGCACGAGCAGCTTATCGGCATCTTCGGGTGCGTTGGAAATCTGAGCGATGTGGCCACCTATGGAAGCGCGGTCATCCCTGGCACCACATGGCCGAGCCGACGAGGAGGAGCCTTTACTCGGCGGCGAGCCAGGAGCAGCAAGAGAGAAGGAGAAGGCCTTCTCAGAAGGCTCGGAAGTCCTCCGGCATTCTGAGAAGTGTTCTATCTTCCCCAGGGACACAACAAGCCTTTCGGATAGCCGGAGGCCTTCTGAGAAGCCCCACTACTTTCTGAGAAGGCCTTCTCCTTCTCGCTTCCCCCCATCGCTCGCCGCCGATTTACCCTTGGAATTCTCTGCCCATGAGCATCGGCCCCTGAAGGAGCACGCCCATGGGGATGACGTCCCGCCGCGCGACGGCGCGCGCGGCCTCCCGCGACGTCAAGAGCAACTGCCGCCAAATTGATTGGGACAGTGGGCGTTTGTTTCCTCCCCAGGGTAACGGTCGTTACCCAGTCGGGGGTGGACAGAACCCCCAACAGTGACACGTCGATTAGTGAATTGTCCGTTTTCGGTTCTCGAGAGGGCGCCGTGTCCGTTATTTTCCAGGCTTGCGCCCGCCAGGTTTGGGCCTCAGGTCGTTTTCATTAAACCACGTTTTACTAAAGGGGGGTCTGTCCATCCCCGACCCAGGCCAACCCCCCCACCCCGTCGGGGTATAACGCTAACGATCATATTTGGGGGGGGGGGGGGGGGGGGGGGGCCCCCCCCCCTTACATGCTGCGGCGCACGCCAGGCGATTTATGCGCTGTGGCTCGGGCGCACCCTGCGGGTGCACGCCGCGGCCGCCGTTACCGTTACCCTCCCGCCCGCCCCCCCCCCCCTCCCCAGGGTAACGACCGCCACCCTGGGAAAGGAACAAAAGAGTCACATAAGGTCAAAGATGGTTGCGGAAAGCGGCTCGATTGATCTGTTCGTCCCTCCACGGAGTTTCCTCTTATGTGCTTCGCGCATCTAGGTGCAACGGAGGAGGCCGAAAAAGGGATCTCGCTCCTGGCCTGCAGTTTCTCATAACCGGATTTCGACTGTCAAAGGAGGGAGGACGACGAACGGTCCGACCTTCTCAGACAGATCATGGCGCGACATCCCCCGCACCCTCCGGCAAGGGAGCGCGAAGGTAATCCTCAGTGCCCTGGGCAGGTAAGCGCTGGCAGGCGGTTTCTACCGTCGCAACGACCATCACGACTACCACGACCACCACGACGTCCGACGCCAGCGATTACAACCACGATTACCACGACGAACACCACCATGACCCGAGGCGCCTGCGACCACCGCCACGACCGCCAGGACCGCCACCACGACCACCGCTAGCACGTCCACTACCGCAACCACCAGCCCGACCAGCACGACCGCCCCCGCCCCTTCCCACCTTTCATCCCCCTACCCTTCCCTGCCGAGCCGGCCCTGTATACCGCAGCGCGGGCCTCGCGACTGTCCCATTGACCGCTTTCTTCCTGATCCTCCTCCTGCTCCTCTTCTTCCTCCTCTTCCCCCTCCTCCTCCATCGCATACTCCTCCCTCCATCCTCCTCCGCCCCCTCCCTCCTCTTTCTCCTCCTCCTCCTGATTCCTCTCCTTCTCCCCCTCCTCCTCATCCTCCTCCTCCTCCTCCTCCTCCTCCTCCTCCTCTTGCGTATTGCGGTGACGTCCATTAGGTTTTGCGTCGGTGGCTCTTGAATCCGTACCGATAGATGATCATGGGAAGCGAAGTCAGGCCAGGAGTGCCACTGGGCCAGGGCTAAACAAAGGACCCTGGTCCTGCAGCAGCTGACGTGGACCCCTGGACATTACCCCAATGCCTGGGGGCTCCCCGTGTGACGGGGTGGGCGACCCACTCGGGTGCACCCATGCCAGGGAGAGCGGGAGGGAGGGAGGGAGGGAGGGAGGGAGGAGAAGGAGCAGGAAGAGGAGGAGGAGGAGGAGGAGGAGGAGGAGCACGAGGAGGGAAAAGGCGGTGGGAGGAGGGAGGAGGAGTGAGTGAGTGACCCCAGTCGCGAAGCGAGTTCGACGAAAAGAACACGACGGAAGACCTCGAGTGAGCGCATCGGTTCACACGGACAGAGCCCGCCGTCAACGGCATTCGTAGCCTCGAGAAAATAACCCCTGAGCGGAAAACAATTACATACCCGAACGTTCACTTCCTCTCAGCGTATTTGCACCGAGACAGTTCCTCCGAAGGGCGGAAGAGAGGCAAAACTGCACAACGTTCGCCCTGCGGCGCCTGCAGGTTCCCCCATGTCTGAGTGCGCACTCCTCACTTGCAAAAGGAACGTAGCGTTCACTCAAAGCAGACAGAGCTACAAGCGTCCCTCCGAGCCGCATCCGGCCTCGGATAGCGACGCGCCTCCTCCAGGTCGCGCCGCCCCAAGCCACCCGAGGGGCGCCACTGCCTCGGGCGACTCCACACACCCACGCACGCCAGGGCGGGGCATCCTGGCCGTGGGAAGGATGGGTGTGGGATCCTCCCGTGAGCCCCCCGCAGGGGACCCTCCTCCCATCCTTGCCCCAGCGAGTGCTGGGAGGGCCAAGCAAGGGGAGGCGAGGCGACGAGGATGCAATTTTCTGTCCCCCAGGCCTCCAACGGTCAAACTGGGGTGACAAACAGGATGCTACCCGCCTGTTTTCTTGGAAAGGGGACCCAGTGGCACAGTTGCCGAGGAAGGAGGAGGATGAGGAGGAGGAGGAGGAAGAGGAGGAGGAGTAGTAGGAGGAGACCCGTAGCCATTTTGGCTCAAGTCCGTAGCGTTTCGCTCAGGGACCGAGGCCTTTTTGGCGTGGGGGAGG